CACTATCCTCATTTTGCTGATTATTAGAAATTATTTCTTAAAAAAATATTTGGCTTGCCATTCAAAATGTAAAGTTATTTTCAGAGATGGATTGTATTTATTTAAAATGTTGTGCTTAGAGTTGGTATTAAAACTTTTTTGGGCTATTATATTTTATAGTAGAAATAAGGTGACTACGGTACATCCGTAAAGAAACAGTATAAAATATGGTTATTTTGTAATATTATTTTAGTGGGTCCGGCACCGATTTGTAAAGAAGTGGGTCCGTCGCTCGAGGAGGAGGAGGAATCGAAGGAGATGAAATTGTCGAATGAGAAGAAGAAGGAATCGTTATCATAGGAGGCGATAATAGATTATACATAGATAGATATCTATGCTCATCTCGAGGGGTATCAAGGAGTCAAAAATAAAAACAATCAGAAGTGGAAGGGCCTAATAGCAAATAGTTCTATTAATAGTATATCTTTGTTTTACTCATCAGTTTATACAAATAGCAATGAGACTGAATTGTAAATGTAAGTTTCGCCGAAGAGTGATGGCAAGGGTGTTACAAGAGGGTGGAGGAGAATCGTGGTGTCGCTGAAGGATGGCACCGATGATGAGGTCATGAGGATTCGGGTTTTTTTATTGTAATTTTCATTTTTCTGGTAATGAGGATTTGAATTGTTGTTTCTTTTTCAAAAATCAAAGATTTTCAACTACATTCCTTCTTTGTACACAAAAGTCAACACCGATAGGGATAGATCAATTCAATATAAAAATGGGGATGCAAACATGTATGTAATTATGAGTAGAAACATAATTGGAATATATTTCGCATCCTAAAGTTGGGTAGTTAATTAATAGTGTATGTGTAATTTAAAAAGGCTGTCGCTTCACTTTATCGAAACAAAACCTCAACTCATTCACCGAAACCAAACCATTTATATATTTCTTATACTAGGACTCGGAAATCTTAATAAATTATGTTTTGGGATTTGTGACATTTGTCCGATCCGAAATTATTATGTAGTTCCAATTCCAATATTCTAGAAAATCTAAAAAAACTACATAGTTTTGCCAACAAACCTCAATACTCCCCACTTTTAAGAAAACGCTTCCAAAAGATGGCAGAAACTAATCTTATTTAAAAAATAATAATATACGTAGTATTATCAATTATGGCTCGTGGAACACTAAAAAAAACCACTCAACTTAGTCAACAAAAACAAAGGTGAAGATGCATATGATGGTCATTTTCCCTAATTTATGTAATTGCATTTAGGGTTGGATAGGAAAAACCAAAAATCGAAACAAAATAAATTGAACAACAACAAAATCGAAACAAAATGTAAAAAACCGAACTATAATTATTTGGTTCGTTTTTTGTTTTGTCCCTTTGAAACCAAACCGAATAAACTCAACTAATTGAAATATGAATTTTATTTGTTAATCGTTAAGCACTAATCATAATACTACTATTGATAGTCTTTGGTTTTCTTGTGTTAGAAAAATAATGTTTTGTGTGAGACATTTTATGTATTTCTTATTAAATATTAAGTTTTTATATTTATAATAATTTAGTTTAATTTGTAAATGCCTTTGCACTTTCATTCCCAATTATGGTTGGACTCGGGTCGGGCCACCCGGCCCGCTACTGTGCAGGACCGGGACCGGCCCGGTTCTCAGGTTCGGGTCCGGGTCAGGCCTAGGCCCGGGGGTAGGGCAGGTCCGGGCTCGGGTCTCAAATTTGGTGAAGCGGCCCGACCGAGTCGGGCCCGGGCCCGGGCCAAATTGATTTTTTTTTATTTTTTTTTTCATTTTTGGGGTTCCACCCGGGTTGGGCTTGATGGGTAGGATGGGTTTGGGGGGGGGGGGGGGGGGGTTGGGAGGGTGGGGGGTGAGGGGGGGTTAGGAAAGCAAAAAAAAAAACAAAATCAAACCGGAGGCCCGGACTAGACCCGGTGGCTACCCGGGCCGGTCCCGGGTCCACCATTCCTGAACTACCGGCCCGCCCGGGCCTAGGCCCGACCCGGACCCGGCCCGGACCCGAGTCCACCCCTATTCCCAATAATAATGTAGCTATATTCATATATTATGTCTTTTACGTATGTATTTTGTTAATTTACATGATGGTGAATCTGTGATATACTGATATGTTTTTGTTGTTTATTACTAGTAATTTTTATGTAACCTAAAAAAATATTGACAAAATAAATAAACATTGATTCAACTATACCTCTTAGAACGTATATATTCATGAATTTGTTTCAAACTAGACAAGTAGACAACTAGTTCATAAAAATGTAAAACAAGAATACTAGGGATGGATTCGGTTCGGGCCACCCGGCCCGTGACCCGGCCCGGCCCGGTCGGGCGGTCCGGGACCGGGTCTGGGCCCGAACCGGGGGGAAGGGGCGGGGCGGGCTCGGTTCAGCATTTTGTGACCCGGCCCGGCCGGGTCGGGCCCGGGTCCGGTTCGATCAATTTTTTAAAAAAAAAGTTTTTTTGGGTTGGGCTCCTACTAGCCGTTGGGGGTGGGGCTAGGGACAACCCAAACGGCTATATAGCCGTTGGGTGGGTTATAGGGGGGGTCCGGGGGGGTTGGGTGGTAGTGGGGGTGGTGGGGGGGTGGGGGGTAAAAAAACCTATAAATACTCCTAATCTTAAACATTTTTTCATATCTCTTCTCCAATTCTTCCTAAATCCTATTCTTAACTCTCTACTCTCTAATTCTCTTATTCTCCATTCTCCAATATATTATATTTATTATTTATAGTTTATATTAATTATCTACTTATATAAACTATAAATAGATATAAATAGTATTATATTACTTATATTTGTTATCTAATTATATATTACTTATATATTTATTATATCTATTAATATAGTTGGAATTATATCTAATTAATTTGAAGTCATTCTATTACTCCCATCCGAAAGACCGAAAGTCCGAAAGAGGTACGAAATTATTCTATTATTTACACTTGTTTAATTACTAGTTAATTAGTATAGTTGGAATTACGATTTTTTATTAATATAGTTGGAATTACAATTTTTTATTAATTGCTACATTTGACTCTAGTTTATAAAATATGTTGTACACAAAACTAGTTAATTCACTACTTAATTTGCTATAACTCGAATTAATAGTTAGATAAATAGTTAATTAGTTTTTTACAATTTTTTATTAATTGCTACATTTGACTCTAGACCAACCGAGGACCATTGACGAAGAAGAGCTCGAGGACAAGGACGACGATGTGGAGGAAGCAATTCCGGAGAGCCACGACGACGAGGAGGAGGAGGGTGGCGGCAGCCATGACGCCGACCAAGCAGCCTCATCCCAAACAGGTACAAAAAAAAGTAAATCTGAATTAATGGCTAATAATTTTTCTAAGTGGAAGGACCCGAACACCGGGAATTGGACCGCAACTTGCAATTGGTGCAAGAAAAACTATAGCTTGGGGATTTCCGGCGGATACGGATCCGCCACAAGACACCTTAAGTCCAAACACCCGGTGGAGTATGCAAAATTAGGCGGCGGAACGGGGAAACAAACGCAAATATCGAGGTTTGCAAATAACCAACAAGCTTTTGGTAATTTCTCATACAATGATGCACAAAATTTGACAGGTATGGCTAACTTACTTGTTGAAGAAAATTTGCCTTATTTGTTTTCTGAAAGTCTTGCTTTTCGTGATTATGCACAAACTTGTTTAAATCCGCAATATAGAGGTTATAGTCGCAAAACGGTTAAGAAAGAAATTTCAAGGCTTTATGGTGCGGAAAAGGTAAGGTTACAAAATTATTTTGCAAACTTTGATGGACGTGTTACTGTATGTTCTGACATATGAGAGGATACTTATCATAATTTACATTATTTGGGTCTGACTGTACATTATATTGATAATGATTGGCATATGCATAAACGTGTTCTTTCTTTCCGTGAATTTAATGATCGTCACACCGCTGAACATATTTATATTTTGATTGAACGTATTTTAATTGAGTATAATTTAATTGATGGCTAAGCTGGTGGAAGGGAAAAGAAAGAATGTTCCCGGTTTTAGCAAAGATGGCTAAGCAAGTGCTATCAATGCCGGTTTCAACGGTTGCCGTGGAACAAGAATTTAGTTCGGCCGGCAATGTTCTAACACAAACCATAACGAGGTTGAGCGCTGAATCTCTTGAGATGCTTATATGCTACCACGATTGGTTGAAAGCAGCACGTAGAGCTCAAGAAATTGACATCACTCCATCACAACACTTTATGGATGAATCTACAGAGGGTGACTCTACTTATGCCGGAGATTCCGATTAAAAACAATTATAGTTCCTATTTAATTTTCAAATGTAGTTCCTATTTCATTTCAAATAAATGCACTTGAAGTTTGTTTTTTAATACTTGTATAAAACTATAAAGTATAAAATATAAATTTAAAAAAAAAAAATACTCGGCCCGACCCGGCCCGCCCGGCCCGGCGGGTGGCCCGACCCGTGACACGGGCGGGTGGCCCGGCCCGAACCGGACCCGTCCAACCCTCGGGCCGGTCCCGGGCCCACTATTCTAGAACCGGCGGCCCGACCGGGCCTAGGCCCGGCCCGGGCCCGACCCGGCCCGAATCCACCCCTAAAGAATACATACACTTTCAATTCAAAAAATTAAAAACTGAAAAAACATATTTTCTCTCATCCATACTCAAATTATTCAATACATATTTATACCTTCTCTTTTTTTTTTCTAGCATGATTGCATTTTTTATGTAATATGTTTGCTCCCCCCCCCCCCCCCCCTAACTATTGTATATTTGTATCATATTAAATCAAATAACATTTTTTAGATAAAAACAAAAAAAAAACGAAATTGAACCAAAACAAACTGTACTGATCAAACCTTGGTTTCAAGTTTTGAAACCAAAAAAACAAATTGAAACAGAACCAAACTTCAGAACCAGACGTTTTACTTTGATTTCATATTTGATTTTGGATAAAAACGGAACCTACCCCTAACTGCACTTTATACATCCACAAGAACGTTAATTAGTTTTTAAATTAGTTATTTTGCTTCAATATCGTATACATCACCTCTAGGCCTCTTGTTTTGAGTCACTACTAGATAAAGCAAAATAAAAGCCAGAAACTCAAAATAGTCAACACTCAACCAGTCTTTGAACTACAGTACTACAAGAGAATGGGGGCATGACATGCTCGTCTCCTTGACAACAATTCTTTACAATGTAACTACCTACACCTTTGAGGATCTTTATCAGTCATTCAAAGGTATCTCTAGGGCCATAATATGCTCCTTAAACATGGATGAGGCTTCTTCCCTCTCATTTATCCTTCCCAGCTTGTCATAGATTACAGCCATCAGGTAAAAAGCTTCAGCCGCCAATTCATGATACTGCATATTAAGCATGCCTTTTAAAATCACTGTGACATTGATTTGTGCCTTAGGAGTTAGGCATCAACAAATTAGTGTAAATGCAGGCAATGGAGTTCTCTGTAAGTGAAATTTTTTGAAACGTTTAAGTTCAGGTATGAGCTGAATCTTTTCAGTCTAGTTTGGACTGAATCTTTTTTGTATGGTCTGAATGTTTCTAGTTGGTCGTCAGTATGTTGTTGTCTTGTTGACCTTGATTAGTTTTTAGTTTAAATATAACAAAAAATCATTATTTTTAACTCCAATGTCATATTGATTCATGTTATCCCACTCCAAACTCTTTGGGGATAAAGGCTTGGATGTTGTATAGCACCTTAAAACTCCTAGCCAAAAAGATGCATATTTCAAATGAAAAAGAAGTCATGTTCTAACAAATGAAGCAAATTTTCATGTAATTACTTACAATATTGGTATGTCCCAAACATTCGATCTCGTTTCCTTTTAGGGAATGATTCTTGTTGTTGATATTATTTATCTTCTTTTTACACCAACCACAAGTCCACAACCACACTTTCACTTTCTTTATACACATGCCAAGTCAATTTGGGTAGAAATTTTGGAACGAGGGTAATAAATTAAGACAAAATTACTAGGAGTATACTAAAGGGGGGATGAATTCCTAAAATATGACTACATAGTTTTCCCCCTAAATTAGTGGTGTTTTATATATATGGTAAGTGCTCTAGTGCTACAGTTTTCCCCTTCCATTTTATTACTATTCATATGGAATCATTTTATGTTTGCTAGTCATATATTAGCAATCTTTGAATGTTTTAGTACATATGGATAATTTTCCCTGAGTTACATGTGATTTGTTTGATTAGTTGAACGGTTTGAACCAATAAATAATCTGGAAAATACATATACGAATGATAACTTATTAAAGCCGTATATTACCAAAATTAAAAAGATTTTTTAGACTAAGATGATTGACGGACCTCCAAACGTTCCAAATCTTCCGAAGCTTGCCGTAAAGGTTTAAGCACATTCTCTGCCTCTTTATATACTGGAGAAGAATATGAGCGTGAAGTGTCATTTGATATACACTATTTATAAAGCTTAAATACAGAGTAACGTGCATTGTAAAACTTTTCGATATTCAACTAGACGAAGCAATTAATGTGATCCTTGACTTAATACTAAGTCAAGATTAGTATTTGTGAATCATATAGCAGTCCACCCGAGTCAATTGCTAGATGCCTAAATTATCAAAATGGCCATGAACCAAATCAAATAGTAGTCAGCTAATAATTTCTACAGCTTTACAACCTTTGTCCCAGTTTACAACATTTGACGTGTCTGGTCAAAGATTTGTAACTGACCAATAATACATTTTTATGCAAAAAGATTTGTACTGTGAAAGAAATAAAAAAGTTATCCATTAACAGTACTCTCAAAGTATACAACTTATAATTTTTTTCTAAAATAGTCCGTATATCGATAAAAACCTGGTCAAAGTTCAACAATTTTCACCACAAAAGTCAAATGTGGCCGTGGCCTAGTAGCCTAGAGCGGGACAAGGTTAGGGCTAAGTAAGTCGTTTAACAATGTGACCATTATTATCATCAAGCTTCACTGAATTTAATTAACTGCACTCCAAAGTTTCCAGTGAAGAAGAGTCAGAGTAATGCAAAATACCTGAAAAACTTGAGTCTGCTAGATAGCATTTTGCTTCAGTAATGAAGGCCCGGGCACGAAGCTCAAGACCACCATGACCAAGAAGCATGGGAAAAGCATTGTGTATGAGAGTCATAGCCCTCTTTGCATGACTTGACCCGAGAGAGAGCCATAACTCGGCCAATGTCAGCGTAGCTGAGGCTTTGAGAAGATCCAGGTTAAAAGACTGACAAAAAGAAAGGCTGGCCAATGCATATGGAATTCCTAAAACGGCATTGCCTGATCTCTGATGTGGGAACACAAAAAGGGGGATTAGTAGCTGAAGTGCAGAACGATTTAACTAATATGAGGAAATTTGTCTTAGCACTCCGTGTTTTACCAAATATTTGACTTCGCAACTCATGTTTTATTTTCATTGAACATGCACCCTGGAGTGGGATGCAACGCCAAATATTCAGGTAAGTAATCGAATGCGAACTATAATAACTGGGCTACAAAGTCCAGTAGAAATTACTCATTTTGGGTGCTCTAGGTGCATGGTCAAATAAAATAAACCATGGGGTTCAAAGTGGCAAATGTTGGGGTAAAATATAAGGTGCAAGATCAAACTTATTTCCCTTAAAAATTTATGTGTTTATATCAATATGCCAACAAACCAGAAACCTGAAGTCATAGCTGAAATCAGAAATCCTAAATACCTTGTGTATCTCTGCGATCAAGAGGAGTATAGTAGCATTCTCAACCTGTAAACTGAATTTGTAGCACATACAGAAAAGAGATTGTGCTACAGCCGCTGCCTGCAAGAACATCTATGTACATTAGATTAATTTCTCCCCCAAGAAAACAAGTCCAGTTTAAAGAAGATTCTGTCTAAAAATAGTGGTTTTAAAACCCAACTTCAATTCTAAAATGAAATTCATAAAAAGCCAAGCAGCTAACATTTTAATCAACTACTCCAAACAATCTTAGAATAAGTTCTATTGGTAACAATTTGTAGCAGAGAGATCTAGTGACGCGAGAATCCACATACCTAAATTTTTCATAACTTGACACTTACAAAAATTTCTGGTAAACCATACAAAGCCATTTATTAAATGGAAAATTTTCCTATTTTCTTGAGAACTTGAAAATAGAAAACAGAACACAATGTTTAGTTTTCCTGAAAAGTGACAAAAATATTACCTCCACACTTTTCGGAGACAAGAATATGACTAGTTTTCATCTTTCCAAAGATGTGACTAACCTTTGTTAATTGGGGAAAATAAATAATATATCCCAAATTTTGTCTTGGTGTGAGCTCCCCACACCGTACTTGTCCTAGTTTAAAAAATACCCCCAACTTTATTTATTTAAATTTTTTGTACCATATTTTAATTAACAAATAATATTTCTCAAATTAAAACCTATTAAATAGATTTAGTTGGGAAAAAAATGCATGATTCCCAAAAAAAACATGTGTGCTTTCTTAGATGGTTTAATAGGACATGGGGCATAAATATCTCAATTTTACAAAGTAGGAGATATTTATACAATATGGACAAGTTTGGGGTAGGGATATCACACTTATGCAAAGTTTAGGATATTTTATTTATTTTCCTCTTGTTTATTTAATATACTTTTTTTAAATTATAGTTCATAACCAACTACCCATCCCTGCCCCCTGCACCATCCCTGTACCATTGAAGATGGTTGCCAACCGCTGCTCGTCGGAAACATCGCAGAAAAGATCGCCAATTTTCCCCAATTTTTACCCGAAAAAATCGGCTTTCCCCCATTTTTTGCTGAACAAAGTCATCAGAAAATTTGTTCAATGGTCACACTGACATGTCACAGATGCAGTGAGACTGATCTGACAGTGACATACTACCTGTCTCCCAAAAAACTTTTCCGTTTCATAAATTTGGATCATGATTTTGATTAGTATAATATTATGGAAATTATAAATTTTATACTTTTATGAAAGTAGTTTTAACAAAGAACATTTTCATATAATCTTTATATTATAAATAATTTCCGATAAATATATATATATGGTTGGTCAAAGTTTTAAAAATGGCAAAGTTTTTTGGGACGGAGGTAGTAATAAACTGACGGTTACATTAGAAAAAATGTCGGTGATTTAATGACATTATGACGTTCCAATTTTATTCCATATATAAAAGTAGCCGCTTCTTTGGATATCAACTTCAATATAGTACTCCCTCCGTCCCGTAGAGAGGTTCTCACGCGATTTACGATGTTTGACAGACCATAAAGTTAACTGATCTCTGTCCATAATTAGATTTTTTTAGTAAAGAAAATTTACATATTCAGAAACTACATTATAAGTTTTATAAAGTCGCAAAAAAACTCAAATTTGATAAAAGTAGAATAAAACAACAACATCCAAGCCTTAATCCCAAAAGAATTTGGGGTCGGCTAACATGAATCGATCTATGATATCGATGCCAAAAAGAGAAGGCGGACAAGAAAAGGAAAAAAAGTAAGATAAAATGAATAAAATAAAGATACATAAATATAAGATAACAATAACACAAGAATATAACTAAGATAAAAGAAAAATAAATAAAAGAGCATAAAAAAGCTAGAAGATAAAAATTACATAAGAATATAAAAAGATAAGGAAGATAAACGATAAAAGAAACAAGAGAGGAAATGTAGACAAGACATCAATCGTCCACATGGATGTGCGCCCTCCACTTTGCTCTCTCCAAAGCCATACTCTCATCCAACCCAAGAAGACGCATATCAGTTCTGATTACTCTAATCCAAGTCTGTTTGGGTCTTCCCCTCCCTCTCTTCTCTGACTCTTCTCCCCACCCCTCAAGTCGTCTAACAGGTGCATCACTTGGTCTTCTATGCACATGCCCAAATCACCGCAAACGAGACTCCTGCATCTTATCTCCTATAGGTGCTACTCCCACCTTTTGTCTGATTACTTCATTCCTCGGGCGGTCTTTTCTGGTATGTCCACACATCCAACGCAACATACGCATCTCTGTCTCACTCATCTTTTGAATGTGTCATTGCTTCACCGCCCAACACTCTACGCCTTACATTAATGCCGGCCTAATTGATGTACGATAAAAGTAGAATATATAAAGTAAAATATTAAGAAGACTTTACGTTGACTAGAGAATAGCGGACGGGAGCCTTTGTATGGGATGGAGGTAGTAATATTTAAGGATAATCCCCTAGTTTTCCTGTTCTCAAAATTAGAAAACAGTTCTTCAATTTTTCACTTATTAGAGAAATTAGAGAACTCTTTTATATTTGCCAAAAAGGAAAACATTTTTCAAAAGCTAAAGTCAATCAGAATGGCAAATACAGCCCCACACATACTCCACCAACGGTAACCCCTACCACAATCAGTGACCTCCCACTGACACCATTGTTGACCCACTACTCAGCCCATAATCCACCAACCTCATGATGTGTAGCAGAAAAAATAAAATCAACGGGGTAAACCGTTGCCCAGATAATCAACGATAAAAAATACTGTTGCCCAGATCCAAAAGGCTAAAACCAATTTTATTCCAAGATCAGCATGAATGAATCCTAACAAGGGGTTTAAATACCCATCTACTAATTCTAAAACTAGGAAACAAAATCCTAGAAATCCTAATCAACTCCAACTAGGAAACAAAATAAAGATCCTAATCAACTCCAACTAGGAAACAGAATAATAGAGATCCTAATCAACTTTAAATAGGAAACAAATAATAGAGATCCTAATTAACTCATAATTGGAAACAAATCAGGATAATTAAAAAGAATAAATATTAATTAAGCATCTCGCAACCAGCTCACGAAGGTGGGCTCAAGCCCGTCCCCGCCTTCAGTAAACCCACGGAGGCTTCTGCCCCTGTTCTTCCAAGCCCAGATTTTGCTTCATATCAATTCCATCCCCCTTCAAAAAAATCTTGAGGCAAGTACAAGCTTATGTTGCTCAATGTTTGGTTTGTCAAAAGGCCAAATATGAGGCAATGTCGCCGGCTGGACTGCTGCAGCCTTTACCTATTCCCAGCTTGATTTGGGAAGATATTTCCATGGATTTCATCACTTGCTTGCCTAAGTCGAAGGGGTACACATCCATTTTAGTGGTGGTAGACCGATTGTCCAAGTATGGGCATTTTATTGCCCTAAAAACTCCGATCACAGCACGATCAGTGGCTGAAGCCTTCTCCAGAGAAGTAGTCAGGTTACATGGCATTCCATGTTCAATTGTGAGTGACCGGGACTCCCTGTTTATAAGTGCATTCTGGAAGGAGCTATTTTTCTTGTCTGGTACGCAGTTAAAATTTAGTTCAGCTTATCACCCGGAGACAGATGGACAGACAGAAGTGCTGAATCGTGTGTTAGAGACATATTTGCGTTGTTTCACTTGTGAGCAGCCGCGGCAGTGGGCACGTTGGCTGTCGTGGGCTGAATATTGGTATAATACCGCGTTCCAGACGGCAGCAAGAATTTCACCGTTTGAGGTGGTTTACGTCAGGCCCCCACCCACTATTCGCCGATTTCTGCCAGGAGAGAGCACGGTGGCAGCAGTGACAGAAGTGCTGGGCAGCAGGGATGTCATGTTGAAGAGACTGAAAGAAAGTTTACAGAAAGCCCAGCAGCGCATGGTGACCCAAGCTAATAAGCACCGTCGCGAAGTGGAATTTCAGGTTGGAGATAAAGTGTTTTTGAAGGTGAGACCTCACCGCCAGGCTTCTCTATTCCGGCAGTCTTACAATAAGCTATCCGCCAAATTCTATGGGCCATTTTTTATTGAAGCAAGGATTGGGCCGACAGCCTATCGTCTAGCGCTACCACCCAGCAGCCGTATCCACCCGGTTTTTCATGCATCTCAGTTGCAGAAGGTGGTAGGCGATCATCCGATAGAGAATGAGTTGCCAGAAAGTTTGGAGCTACCAATAGGCCCACTGTTTGATCCTGAAGAGATATTAGCTAGCAGAAAGAAAAATGACAAGGAGGAAGAGCTTCTGGTCAGATGGGTAGGGCAGTCGATTGACGATGCTACATGGATGGATAAAGCAAGTTTTGTAGGTCAATTTCCAGATTTCAACCTTGAGGACAAGGTTCTTTCAAAGGAGGATGAAGTTGATAGAGAGCAGGCGGAGCCGACTGAGGCAGAACAGGGCCCGAGGCCCTTGTTGGTCTACCGAAGGCGGGGACGGGCTGGAGCCCACCTCCGTGGGCTGGATATTTAATTGGCTTGAATTAATTACATAGTTATTTCCTTTTATTATGTTTCCTATTTTAATTAAGTTTCCTAGTTATTTCCTTTTATTATGTTTCCTATTTTAATTAAGTTTCCTAGTATGATTTAATTAGGAGTTCTACCTTAATTAAAATTAGTAGGCTATTTATACCCCTTAAGAGGGTTATTAGAACTATCGATTATTATTGGAATAAAGTGGTTTTTGAGCGTCAAGCTTGGGCAACGGTTGTTACCGTTGATTGTTATTTTTTTCTTTCACAACACCTCACCCCACTCATCATGACCCGTGCCAACATCACTACCACCACTAATAATCATGTTGCCAATTACCACCGCCAGCAACAATTGTCAGTGTCGACAAACATCCATACTGCAGATGAGCACCACTGCTGACAGATGAACTGCAAACCATCACCATTGCTGGCCACCAAGCCACTTCCACCACCACCACTGTCGTCATCAACCCCTGCCACTGTTGAAAACCCACACCAATTACACCACACTGGTGTTCGCCGACTCTGCCAACAACCCATAGGTGATGCTGGAAATATGTGTGAATATATTTTCCGAATTAATAAGAACCATAGAATGAAAACAGCAAACTGATAAACAGACAATACGGGGGGTGGGGGGGCTATTGAAAAGAGTATACTGCGTGAAAGAAACTAAAGCTAATATGATTGAAATTACATGATCCCAATCATTTTGAGTGGGACTCTATAAAACCAGGATCAGCTTTATGAAATGAACAGGATATTTACAAAAGAAAACTTTACCTCACTGAACTGGTTTGCAGCAAGCAATGTCCGTGCACGGCGGAAGCTTGCTTCAGCCTTTATCTCCATATCAACTCCCGCTACAGAAGAAGCATAAATGCCTAGCTCATCACATAGTCGTTGAGCTAGTTTAAGGCGCCCCCTGGAAAATAGGAACCATCGCAGTGATTCAGGATAAATGAATCTCATACCACAGTATTCACATCTTTAAGCACTATCTAAGGAAGGTATAGGCTAAAAATTAGCCATACTGGTGTAAAGCATGCTCATGGAGTAACTGCAGTTTTGCAAGGTGGACTCTTGACTTTGAAAGGCATAAAAACTTCTCCTCTGCAATTTCAAGTGCAGCAAATGCCTCTGCCAAAATTACGAACATGTAGGATATGATTGGCTATGTAAAATATAAATTAGATCCATCTGTGTCACAGTGTAAAAAACAGTTCTTTAAGTGAACACATAAAAATGACACTGCTATGCAAAACATAGTTTTTACACAAACCAATGTCGGGTAGGACTTCCCTTCTGAATTCTGGTGCATTAAAAAATGTCAGGTAGGACTAGGCAAAATGAGAATCCAGTGCGTAATGATATGTAAATGCTTTTCAGTGCAAATTCTGAGACAAATATATTTCACATGTTCTCTTGGCTTGCGAAGTTGACATATAATCTAAAGGATTTCAAACCATTCAATAGTTTGGAAAGTTAATCAGCAACTCTAGTCTAAGCACTCCGTACGTAAAGTCTCAGGAAAGAGTTCATTTCCTTTTCAGAAACCCTACGGAAACTCTTTAGAAACTCCCTGAATAGTTGTTTTTTTATTAAACAATGGTGTTTCCTGTTTCATGTTTCCGGTTTTTTCCACATTTTTTAACATAAGACTCCGGTATTTTTAGAAGAAAGCCATCATCTATGCAATAATGTAACAGATTACTAATTACATATCTAAGGCTTACACTTGGTCAGAGTGATGAGTTAAACATAAGTGATTTAACCATAACTTTCAGCATTAAAGCATTGAACTCATTCTTATAGAAAAGAAAGTGTCTTGAATCTTGCATAATCACCAGTGATTCGCTAAAAATAAAGCACTTTCTCACAAGCATGTACTTCACAAGAGTGAAACAAGTGGCACTCACACACTTGCGCCGTCACCTTAAGCTACGGTACATTCCCATTTAACAACTTTGACAAGAAGTGTATACAAATGGTCAAAGAATTGCGCAATTACAGTAATAATAGCACAAACTGTCACAAAAAGATTTGTTTGATAGAGAGCAGGGGATCAAGGGGCGGGAACGGGCTTGGGCCCACCTCCGTGGGCTGGGATTATAGTTTTATTAATTAATATAAAGTTTATGTTATGCTTTCTAGTTAGGGCCTATTATTAGTAGTGTATTTAGTAGAGTATATTGGACTTAATTAGGGTTTAATTAATTTGGGCTCGATTAGGGTTTCTGTTGAGTCTCTTACTACAAGGCTATTTATACCCCTTGTTAGGGTTCATTCTTGCTTATCTATGACAAAAATTGGAATTTGGCCAAAAAAATAAAAAACAACAAAATAAATCCGTTGCCTAGATAATCAACAATAGAAATCGGTGCCCATAGCCAAAAGGCTAAAACTCCAATTTTTTTCATAGATAAGCAAGAATGAACCCTAACAAGGGGTATAAATAGCCTTCTAGTAAGAGACTCAACAGAACCCCTAATCGAGCCCAAATTAATTAAACCCTAACTAAGCCCAAATTACTCTACTAAATAGTAAATACACTACTAATAATAGGACCAAACTAGAAAACATAACATAAACTTTAAAATAAAACTATAATCCCAGCCCACAACCAGCCCACAGAGGTGGGCCCAAACCCGTTCCTGCCCCTTGATCTCCCTGCTCTCTATCAATCCATCCCCCTTCGAAACAACCTTGTCCTCAAGGTTGAAATCCGGAAACCGGCTCACATTTATCCCCGGGGGCTGCCCAGTATCTTTAGGGAAGGTGTTACTCGATCCTTTCAGCCCGTTCATGAAATACCCCAAATAATGATCGTCAGATAGCCTTTGGACCTGACTTGTTAGTTGACCAGGAAAAATATATCCTAATGTGAATCTACTTCAAGATGGTTAAGGCATTTCTCCTGACCTCTGTATCCTTTATATACTGCCAAATGCTGGATAAGTTTTGCATATGCCATTGCAACATCCTCTGAACTGTATAGGAAACAATAAATTAACAAGGTTCTAACGAATTTCTGTCAAAAATCAAATCAAGAACATAAAAATTAAAGCAGTGAGTTTAAGATTTACCTGGATGAGTCATAAAAGCAGGTTGCAAAAACTAGGGAATTTATTCGAGCAAGAGAGGCACTGAAAATATAGTAGGTAATAGTAACTATCCAGACAATCTGTTACTAAATTCAGATGACGGTGATGAATTTCTTTGCATGAGAAAAAGTGGGACAAAAGAGTCTTAATCGGGATAAACTAAGCATACAATATAATCATACTGACAAGTGAGGTACCGTAACACCAATGCATATCATTGGTTCATGTCGCCATTTAACCATTTTATTATGCTCAAATTACTCAATGGTAATATACTAATTGGTCCGTTGGCAAAGTTGCAGACTTACAGTACCTAGAATTTGTCCATAATATGTTGAAACTATATATAGTACATGAATTACTAATTCATGATGTTAACTCAAAAAGAGTCTAATATCTATTTCCACTACGTTCAACTACAAAAGGTTAGCACAAAGCAATGATGTGATTCATGTGATTGATAACTAAAGAAATGAAAGATATCATAAAGAAAAAAGCTAGATACAAAGACAAATAAAGAAATCAAAATGAAGAAAAGGGAAGAAACAAATAAAATGCAAATTTGGCGGGTCAGGTTGTTGTGTCAAAATAGGTTTGGCAATACATCAATCATGGACATCCCTATGAATGACTTGTAGAAAGCTACATGTCAATCAATGTTTGGCACTCTCAGGCAAGGTTACCAGCCATGGGGAGTGTTCTTGACCACCACAACGTTAAGCGTTGTCTAGTCATCGCCTACATGACACCATGACAACTCTGATGGTCACTTACTGCTATAATAGCTAAGATAAAGAATAAATAAAGAGAGAGAGTGAACACCAACTGAAGTTTAGATAACAGGAAATGCAAAGCACAACCTATGGAATTTCCTCAAACACTGCTGGTATACACTCGTGAAATTATTTATCAATATCTAAAAGAGCAAAGGAAATATCAGTATTGCATGTAGAGAGAAGAACACAAAGTTGGGTGCATATATCACCTGCCATAGACCTCCCATGCAGTGGTACGAACCAAGTAAGATGAGCCTAATACCTGCAGCACTGACCCAGGAATGGAACTAGGTTGTGCACAGAAATGGGACGTTATGTTATTACTAGACTCGTTTTCTTGTGTAAAAATAAGCAAACTGTTTGGCTTCTTCAAATTCTTAAACCAAGCAGTACAAAAAGCGCCATCTGAGGTCATCATTGAAGTTTCATCTCCAAAGTCAGTAATTAGATGAGAACTTAACCTCAGCTCCTGCAGTATTCACCATAAAGAGGATAAGAGTTATCAGTGAAAGTTAAACAAATCATAAAATATTAAAACGTTGAACTGTCCAGGAACTAAAATTACCTTGCAGACATTGACTGGACAAGTTGTGAGCTTTATGGATGTCTTTGGGCCAAATGAGAGCAAAGGTCTATGAATATGCTGTAAATCAATATATGAATATAAGACATATGATGCATATGAACTTTACATGCTACTGGTGCAAATGAAGACCACTGTTACCATCTTTTAACATAGTAGTTTCAGAAAAATAATATTTATGTATACATGTGATGATCTCAAGCCAGCTTTCAGGTCAAATTAAGACCACTGTCACCATATTTTAACATATAATTTGTTTTTGCAAATAGTTAAATGTGATCATGAAACTTAGCAAGCTAAGACAAAAAAACATTGTGAGCGTAAGACTATTATACTAGCATACAGAAATTTATGATCTTACTGCAAGGTCAAATTTAGCCATAGCAAGATGATTAGAGGCCACCAGTCGTTTCAACTTTTGACTTTCCGCTCGCTTTATGGAACTTCTTAAAAGAACATATAATTGCTGTTGGACTGACATAGAAGTGCTTAAATGGGCAACTGGTGAATATGATGATCCAATAAAACCAGTAGTATTTGAGATACCAGCGTTGGACAGCAGCTTGCAAATAGCTGTTAATGTATATGCAAGGCAGGTATCATCACTGTACTGCACATGGAATTAGAAGAATTTGAGGCATGACATAGAAATATAAGCAAAAGAAATTAGAAAAATATTCACGATTTCGCATGAACTATAAATAGAAGCGAAGCATATAATATATTATGATAAAAGGAGAAAGAAATGAAATAGTATCTGCCACTTGGCAGCTATTCAAAGTTTATTTCCCTCCAAAATCAAGGATGTCCCGTGCAGCTGGTTCTTACGCTTCCCAAGCTTGTTGTCCACTTTTCCCTTTGAAGTTGAATCAAAACTCTTTGTCTTACACTCTTAGTCTAGTTATGGCCAATTTTGAATATCAGAATATGCTTTCAATCCCACATAAAATTACCTGAAGCACTATTAAGAAAACAAACTCCTGTAAAAGAGGCTCTGTACCCCATTAGAGAAATGGAGGTCTTACTCTGATATTGTTAAATGGGAATAATACGCAAAATATTGAATATCTTACTATAACAGATTGTATGGTAATCGGATTTTATGTGAAGGATACAAAAGACAAAACTTAAAGATGCTTTGAGAAAGATGGGGCGGAAGAAAGCGGTGGGTCCAGATGGCCTACCAATTGAGACCTCAAGAAGTTTGGGAGAGAGGCATTGAGTGGTTAACTCTTTTCTTGAACAAGATTTGGAGAAACAATTAAATGTCGGCGAGTTGGCGGAAGAGTACCTTTACCCCGTATTTAACAATAGGGGTGATATAGAAGAATGTGCCAACTGATACGTTTGTAATTTCCATGTTTATGTTTGTATTTTTAATTAGCTTTGATTGATTTCTACCTTGGAAATTACACACTTTTGGTGTAATAGTTTAGTTTGTTAAATACTTGTAAATTGTTTAGATTAAGTTTATTCTGAGCTCAAACAGGTCTATCACACAAAGGACAGTTGGTGAACCTCAAAAGTGGAAGGAAGGTGCAAAATCACAAGACAAAATGAAGATCCTGATTTTTGGTCTATACCCGGTCGGGTATGACCTATACCCGATCGGGTATCTTGTTGAAATTTCAAATCGGATCGGATCCGAAGACAAAGGAACATGCAGGGAAGATTTTGACCACGATCGAGTGTCTATACCCGATCGGGTACACCGACACACCCGATCGGGTATGCATTCGATTTTAACCCCGAATTCGATCGAGTATACCTTGAATCTGACGTTTTACACATACCCGGTCGGGTACCGTGTATATACCCGATCGAGTACCCGAACTGCATTCCCAAAATCCTATAAATACACCCCTTCCCTTCACAATTAGATCACCAATTCACATATACTTCTAAGCTCAGTCTAGAATAGTTCTTTCTTTATATTTTCATCATGTTTAGTCTCCACATGAGGAGCTAAACTCTTCCATCTTGGTTTTGCTACTTTGAAGCTTAATGAATTTGTAAGTTGTGAGTTATTCTCTTTAATTTTCTTCCTTGAATATTAATTCTTCCTTTAAATACTATTTCTATATCAATGTTGGGGAGTGTTACTAAGATGACAATTAGTTAACATCTTGACATTAGTTATAGTAATAGTTATTTTTTCCTCTATGTTAATATTGGGGAGTGTTACTAAGATGACAATTAGTTAACATCTTGATATTAACTATAGTAGGATTCATCTTCTTTAATATTCTTCCTTGAGTATTAATTAATTCCTATTCATAATTCATATTAATATTTTGAACATTACTTAAAGGATTGATAAGTTCGTATTTCAACACGCTTTTAATGCGTGTTGGAGTCGGATGTTGATGGTTTTCCTCGCTTTAAGGTGTCATAAGTATCATGTTTAGCTCAAGTCATGTTAGTTGGGTGTTGGAACGAGTTTTGGCATTTTTAGATATGAAATCAGGTCTTTTAGGGCCCGGTATCGGCGCATTAAGGAGTGATCGGGATGAGTTGAGGAGTGTTCGAGAATGAATTCAGAGTTTTGAAGGGCACCGGGAGATTCACGATGAAGATTTGAGGAAGAAAGAGTTGTTCGATTGATCGCGGGGCCAAACGGGGACTTGAACGGGAGAAAATGAGGAATTCGGAAGAGAAAGGGCTACACACAGCCATGCGTGCAAGGACGCACGCGTGCGTCCAATGAAGAAAACGAAGTTGACTTTACTACCGGCTAGGGACGCACGCGTGCATCCCCCTTTTTACGCGGATGTCTGTCGGACGCACGGACGCCACACACACGTGCGTGGTGCCGTGCGTACCCAAAATCTTTCCTAATTCAGCTCAAATTGCCTTGTTTTCTTTAAATACCACCCCCATAACCCTAATTAAGGGGATGGAACTTATTTAGCAGATTAAGGACGAATTTGAGAGCTTTTCAGCCCTGGTTTTTTCTATTCTTTGAGATTCTTTGTAAGTTCCTACTTTTTAATTAATGGCAATTATTTCTATTCTTCCCAATTCTATTGATTCTTCAATTATGAGTCGGGGGTAGTTTTAATTAGGGATTTGGGATTGATGAAGGGGTTAATCACGATGTATGGTTAGGTTCTTGATGGTGTAAATTGCATGAATGCCGTTTAATTTGTGTTTGAGTAATTTAATTGATATCTTTTGTAACCTAGATGGCCACTAGAATTACAATTGCATGTAGAATGAATTAAGAGAGATCTAATTTGTTCTAAGACACATTCACACACACTTAATCGTTTGCTAAGAGATTAGTAGCGATTAAGGGGCCGTAAGCTCGTTCGTCTTGGCAATAATTTAGGATCCTGTCGCATGAGAGATCAGCCTGGTCCCCTAAATTATTGTACTCTACGCCGCGAGAGCGGTAAGAACTTAGTATTGATTAGCTAGGTTCAATTAAATTAAATTCATGTAATTAAGCCTGATCTGCCAGAAATCCGATTACCCCGGAATCAATCCCTGTTCCCTTCGTCATTAATTAAGAAGAACCCAAATATTTACTTTTAGTCGTTTATTTGCAATTTTAGTTTTCTCAATCAACCAAATCTCGCACGACTGCTTTTATTTTATTTCTTTTCTTTATCGCTGATTTTATTTAATTCTTAATTCCCTTTTGTCCGTCCCTGTGGAGACGATACTCGTACTTTCACCGCTATTCTACAATCTTTCTAAGTGCGAGAAAACTAACATCAAGGATCAACTAGTTTTGTTTCATATATTAATTATTACTAGAATCGATCGACGAATACGCTTGTTAACCGTTTGATCGTTTCACGGTAGTAAACTTGGGTTAGTAATGCATGCATTTAATGGTTAATAAACCAAGGGGAATTAATTATGTTGATTAAACCAATAAACCGTTTGTGTTGAGGTTATCAATCTCAATCGTTTTCATCTTGATTTTATTGCTACTATCGGGTTAATATACGGCGCGTGTTCTATATTAACTCGATAGTAAGTTTTATTAATGAACGTGTCTCGTTATTAATAACTACCCTCGATGAACTGGATATACTCCTCGATTGAGTATTCGAGAGGAAGATAGTTAAAATATAACCAGGATCGACGAACATTTCATTAAGTGGATAAAAGCAAAATCAAGTCTTAATCTCTATTAAAGTACCCTTTTCCGGCTACTGTCAAAACACATTCCGACATCTTTTACCATTGCCGTTGGGGGTCGCCGGGGTCCAACGGGGGTGAGGGGTGGAGGATGGAGCATCGTTTTGGCTTGGTTACTGTGTCCGACTGGCTTCTTTGACTCACCAATGCCGCCGGGTTGATGCCGGAACCCGATGGGGGTGGGTGGTATTTTGTTAACTTTCCAGCAGGCTACTTACTTTGCTTTATCTCCTGCCTGACCGCCGGGGGTCGCCGGAACCCGGTGGAGTAGGAAGGGAGTAGAGTGTCATGAGCGAGCATGACGTTGTTGTTGGTTTTCTTCTGCTATTGGTTACCGGCCGGAACTCTGGCGGCGACGGCGACCGGCGAGTCAACGGCATCTGACAAATGACTTTGATTGGCTGCCTGCCTAGCTGTCCTGTCGGCTACTGTAGCACCACGTGCGATTTGAATTTCAAATAGGCGTTTGTTCTGTGCGGCGCGGAGATGAATAAGATGCTGGGCTGGAGCCCTAGCCCGGCTGCTGGCTTGCGAAAAGTTCTTGGATGGATGGCCTTCGCTGTTGGGCTTTGTTCTGAGCTCTGCGTTTCTAGCTGCTGTGGGCTATGTGACTTGGAAATTGATGTGTGCTGCGACAGGATTTTGGTGGCACATACCAGGTGCCGATTTTGGTTGGGCCTTTGTTGGCTCTTTTGTGGACTGTTTTTGGTGGACATTGTGGTCCTTTGACTGGATTTTGCTTATGGGCTGGCCTTTTATAGACGAGTCCTTTTTGGTTACTGATTTTTGTGATACGAGTCGGGGCCTGTCCCGTGCCGTTTGTTATCCGAAAAACTCTCTCCCCTCCTCCCGCCTGGCGGGGGGCGGATACGGTATATACTATTTTAGGTTAGCTTGCTAGCTTAGATAGGTATTTTTGATCTTTTTGATTCATTGTACTTGTGCTATTTTCTGGATATATATACTTATATTTTATCTAAAAAAAAAAGAAAATCACATAAGTCGTTCATCTTAGTGTTTAAATACATTTAAGTTCATCAACAATCATAAAACCCCCCTTGTTACTAGTTACATAAAAGATAAATATTCCTTTCCATGTGGATACGAACATTACTTCAATATACTACGTATATTTGTTGTATTGTTACTTTGAGTGCACATCGCGACAAAGTGCACGTCAAATTTGGCGCCGTTGCCGGAGAAAGGCAATAATTTTACTTATATTTTATTTGAAGAAAAATAAAAAAAATAAAAAATAAAAATATAAGAAGTTCTTACTTTTTCTATTTCTGAGCTTGGTGAAGTATATGGTTAAACACCGTTCCATAAATGAAATCACATATCACACAAACCCGGAAATAGAACAAACTTTCGAGCGGTTGAAAAGTAGATTTTCTAATACCGACTCGGATGAATCATCTACCGGAGAATCATCTAGCGCTAGCTCTAGTTCTAGCG